CATATGGGATATTTTAGTGTTCTTCTCTCTATAATTGATAGAACAAATAAATTCAGTAAAGCTATAAAAGTATTTTAATAATATGATTAACAAACTGTACTACTGACATCTATAGAACACTATAGAATCTGTATTCAACAAGTGCATAATACAGATTCTTTTCAAGCACACATGGAAAAGTTACAAAATACAAGAATATATACTTGGCTGTTAAGTTTCAAAAATTTCAAAGGATTAAAATCATATAGAGTGTGTTTTCTGAGCATAGTATAGTTAAGCCAGGTATCAGTAACAAATATGCTAAATCACTATGTTTAGAAATTAAGCAATACCCTTCTAAATAGTCTGTAGGTCAAATAAAAAAGTTATAATGGAAATTTAGAAAATATTCTAATCTTCATGACAGTGAAAATACCATTTGTTGAAATTGATTGATGCAGCTAAAGCGATACCTACCAAGAAGTTTAGAAAATGATAAAAGCTGAAAATTAATCAAGTAAATATCCATCACAAGTTTTTTTAAAAAGCCTTTTTTTAAAAAAACATTAACTCAAAGTATGGAAAAGAAAAGAAATAATCAAGGTATGAGCAGAAATTAATAAAATAGAATACAAGCATAAAATGGAATAAACAAAGTTGCTTTTTTGAAAAAAAAAAAAAGAGTTTAAAAACCCCTGAACAAGAAAAGAGAGAGGAAAAGAAGGCACAAATAAATGCTAAAAGTGAAAAGCCATGACCAAGTTGGTGTGTTTCAGGTATGCAAGACTGACTTAACATTGGAAAATCAATCCATCAATTCACCACATTAACAGACTAATGAAGAAAATGATAGGATCATTTCAGTAGATTCAATAAAAGTCTTTGAAAAGAACACAACTCCAATTCAAGATAAAAACTCATAGCAAACTAAGCATAGAAAGGATTAAGAATTAAAAAGCTAAACAAACAGGAAGCACAAAATGGGTGGTAGAAATAATCCCAAAAATCATTCATCACACCAAATGTAAATGGAATAAACAAAAACTATCATACCCAATTTTTTAAGAATCCAGGTAGATTGTTTTTAATGGAGACATAACTGGAACATAAGGACATTGAAGGATGAGGTAAAGAGAGTTATTATATAATAATAAAAGGCCCTATTCACCAGAAGGGCATAACAAATCTAATATCATATGCATTGAAACCAAAGCTTAAAATATATAAAGCAAATATCATAAAAACTCTAAGGAGTAATTTACTAATTTGCTATCATAACTGGAGATTTTAACATCCTTTTCTCAATAATTGATAGAACAACCAAAAAAGCAGCAAGCAACATAATTTACAAGCTGCATCTAATAAATAGCTATAGAATATTGCACTCAATATTCGCATAGCATGCATTCTTTTAAGATATTCATGAAACACTATTGGAAATTAACAATGTACATGACCATAAAGCAAGCCTCAAAGGGTTCGGAGAATTGATACAGACAGATAGTGTTCTCTGGGCACAACACAATTCAGTGATAAATCAAAGCAAAAAAATAAAATTAAAAATCTCCAAATAAATTTTCAAATTCACAGTCATCTTGCCAAAAATATCAAATCTAAATCTGATCAAATCTTTATATCCATCTACCAATTTCCTGGAAATACTAGGATAGACGAATATGTTAAATTACACTATGAGGATGCAATCATCAAAAGTCAGACTGTGATAAACTCTATAAGACAAACAATCCAGCTTCTTAAACATGTAAATTTCTGAGGTTGGCAGGGGGTACAGAATGGAGGAGAAAATAGAAATGAAAAAGAAACTTAAAGGCATTTCAATTAACAGCAATGTATGGATTTCATTTGGATTCTGATCCATATAAACTGCTGTGGGGGAAGGGCATTAAGAGAAAGTTAGACATCGAAATACTTAGTGGATATTGATGATACTAAAGTATTATTAAATGATATGATATATGGGATCTGCTTCAAAATAAAGGGTGTTAGTGGGGGTATATAAGTGAAATAAGGTTGTCTGTGAGTTGATCATTGCTGACGAGCTGATAGATGCATTGGAGCCCATTAAATTATTCTATTTTTGTACATGTTTGAAATTCTCAGTAATAAAAGTTTTAAAAGAAACAGCAAATTCAGCATGACAATGAAAATTACAGGCCAGTCTCCTTCATGACCAAATGTACCATTTATTTATCCTCATCTTTCTCAATTCCACACCAGCCCTTTTATACTGTGTTCCATGTAGCTGGGGCTTGAAGACTGCAGACCACACTGCCCAGCTTTCATCGCCAGTTGCCTTTCTTTTAGATTCTGTTAATGGGAATGTAAATTACTGCAGGATCTCACTCACATATGGAGTATAAGAAAAAAACAAAAAACAAACAAAACAAACACAAACACATAGATACAGAGAACAGATTGGTGGTTACCAGAGAGGAAGGGGGGTGGGGGGAGGGCAAAATGGGTAAAGGGGGCCAGTTGTTTGGTGATGGATAGAAACTAGACTTTTGACAGCAGACTTTCGGTAGAAGTCGAATTATAAGGTTTTACACCTAAAACTTATATAATGTTATAAACTGATTTTACCTCAACAAAAATAAAGTTACCGTTGGAAGATCAGAAAGGACAAAGAGAGAAGTTTCCCGCTTTGGGCTCTAACAGTGTGGCAGTTGCTATTTGTTGTAGGGACAGCAAAGGTAGCGAGATTCTGAACTCCTGAAACCTGGGCCAAGCCACCATCTTTTCTGTGGTTCCAACCCTAGTCAAGACAGGACCTTTTGATGGATTCAGAGCCGGTGGACATAGCCTCTCTAAAAGCACTGCAGCAGGTGTGCACTGGGCTCCCATCCAGGGACATGAACAGCTTCTGATCATGAGGCAACACCCCTTCCTCCTCTTGACTTCTCCAGCACCTCTCCTTCTCCTTTCGTTCCTTTGGCAAATGTATAGTCAATTCTCTATATTTAATTTCTTTTATTCAAAATACCTAGAGTGGTTTCTGTATTTCTGACCAGACCCCGACTGACACAGTATAGTATCAAGTGCTCCTAGAAAGAGAATCTCAAAAGTGAGGATCTACAATTGGGTTGCTGGCCTGTGTGAGGATAACTGAAGTAATCATCTCTTACAAGTGGAAAATGGGATACGGGACATCCAGTGCCATTACAGTTTCTCAGATCATCACTTGTGGTTGTTTGGAATGTGGTGCCTATTAAAGGCCAGGCTTTGGAAGGCCAAGTGGCTGCTGCACTTGACCATTATGACAGCGAGGATGACTTACAGAGACTGAGGTAGGCTAGCTATTTCTGACCACAGTGGAGAGCGTACACAAAGAAAATGGTAAATTTAAAGATTTAAATTTTCAGCATAAGGCAAGGTCAGAGAACTAGAGAGTGTCTAAGGCAGCACTAAAATTATCTCTTAATTCTTGTAGCAACAGAGCAGATATGGCTGAAAATAAGATTCCAAATGTCATTGTGCATGTTGCAGAATTACAAGTTTAATTCATAGGGTCACCAATTCTCCTCTGTGAAAATTAGGACTTGACCATGAAGGAGTGGGACCTGAGGCTTTGAAAGGAGACATTTTGGTGGACTTAGAAGAATCTAGGAAACTAAACCACTGGCGTCCCCTGAGCCTCCCTTGCTAACAGAAATGGTTATTTCTCCCCTGCCCAGGGGCACTAGCCAACCTTGTCAAGACCTCAGCCAAGGCAGTTGCCTTTCAAGGAATTCTAACACTCCTCAAAACTCACCCCATACATACCTATTGTTTCCAGATTCGTAACTATAATCAGATCTCAGTAAAAGTCTATGCAACAGGCTGTAGCTTATACACACCAAAAGACTTGCATGTTTCTGCTCATTTATGTTATTAGAAACCCAGGAAAAATGTATCAGAGTGCATTTCAAGGAAGACAGTATATAGCCTTGAATAAGGTAGAATTTATCTATACAGGTACACTTATCTGAGATTCTGTATTTAACGCCTTAGCTTTAGTTGTTAGGAATGCCTTTAACAATGTGCTTGGTAGGGGGCTGGCCCCGTGGCCTAGTGGTTAAGTTCGTGAGCTCTGATTCTGTGGCCCAGGTTTTGCCGGTTAGGATCCTGGGCGCGGACATGGCACCGCTCATCAAGCCATGCTGAGGCGGCATCCCACATAGGACAACCAGAAGGGCCTACAACCAGAATGTACAGCTATGTACTGGGGGGCTTCGGGGAGAAACAAAAGGGAAAAAAAAACCCCAATACGCTTGTTTAACTGGAATCTGGACTCAACAATGGTTTATAATAAATGAAATTGATATGCTGAAATTCCCTGGCATGAAATAGAGAAGAAACTGAGTTGCTGGAACTCCAGGGACAGAAGCATTCAATGGTATTATCTGTGCATGTTCCCTGGCAGCAGTGGCCTATGTAAACAGTGGTGATTCATAATCTGACAGATCCTGTGAGGATGCATCCTTCTGTGCTTCCTGCTCGTCTTCCTGGCTTCTGGCCCTTTCCCTGAGCCTGGTCCTCCAGCCTTCCTGTAAGTACTGTGTTTACTTTGATATTTCACCCCGAAATTCCTTTTCCATTGAAGTTAGAAAGAGTTGACTATAACAAGAACCATGAATTAGGCAATTTGTATTTTTATCTTTCAGTTACAAAGGCTATTTAGTAACCCACATCATATGAACTTTAATTTCACTGGTAACCTCTGTTTCCCAGGCCATGCATGTGGATAAGACTGGAAGAATACGGGTGAGGGTGGCAAATCCAGGAAACGCAAATAAAAACCATACTGAGATATTTCACACCCGCCAGGTTGTAAAAAAATTAAAATTCTAGAAACATGTGTTGCTTATAGTATGTGAATAGCACTGGGAGTGTAAATGGTGCAACCACTCTGAAAAATAGTTTCTAGTAAAGTCAATGATATGTGTGCCTCCTATGACCACACTGGGGGAGATATCAAAGAGAAACTCTCACCCATACACACAGAAGACAGTACACGAATGTTCACAACAGCATGGTTTGTAATAACAAAAAAAAAAAAAGGAAATATCCCCAAATGTTCAACAGGAAAATGCATAAATAGCTTATGATATAGTCATACAATGGAATATTAAATATTAAAATGAATTAATTATAGAATGCATCAACATAGGTGAATCTCACCAATATAACGCTTCATGGAAAAAAAAAAATTCCAAGATTACAGAGAGAATGATTCAAAATTGCTACAGTGTTAAAACAGGTGAAACTAAACAATATATTATTTAGGAATACATACAAAAAAGATAAAATTCAAGTTGGAGTTACATCCGGAGTAAAGGAAGGAATGTGAACCAGGAGGGGCCCACAAGCGGACTTCAAAAGGATTGGCAATACTCCATTTCATAATGGATTTTACTCCTATTTTAAAGTCCCTTGTATGTATTATATATACTGTTTTAGAATTACAAGATAATCATATTTTTTAAAAAACAATTTTATGACTTAGCTGGCTGCCACTTCAAATGCTTATGAAGTTGAAAAAAGTAACTTAAAAAAAGAAAATGTCTTCTGCCTAAATAATGTCGTTTATTCGCCTGCTAAACAGATTTTGTTTTGTTTCTAATTATAGGACCCAAACTTTAAAATAGTAATGTGAATCATAAATCTCCAAAAGAGGGATTTAGAATTCCATAATTCCCAAACTTTCCTAGCCATGGGCTATTTTGGCTTGGACTATCTAGAATACAGAGATGGTTTGAGAAAAATTCTGTTCGTCATAGTTCCTTGCCACGCCTCCCACTCCCAATCTGAAGTCATTCATTTCTACACTCTTGGCCGCAAACTTTTGCTGAGTGTCTAAACACTAATTGTCTGTCTGTCCACCTGGACTCCTGTTCTTTGCTGGCTTCTGGGTTCCTAGAGATCTTGTAAGACCTACGAGCTTGGAAAAAACCACATTCTTGCCTCCCACTCTGGCCTGAGACAGGACCTTTCTGGGCCCATTTTCCACAACACCTCCTCTTAGTGTTGTGTTCTATCTGCTGGACTGGCTTTCCTCCCAATGCTTGCGTGGGTCTGTCCACTCAGCTTTTGCTCCAGCACAGTAGACAGACGTAGTTCCAGATCACCTCCACTCTCAGTCTTCTCTCTCTCCTGCACTTTGCCAGATCATATTGGATGTGACTTGAGATAAGATCATGACACTTGAAAATCATTCTCCCTGAAGATAGACAGAACTGGAGTGACAGAGAAGCAAAGACATAGGCAGACAGGCTTCAGAAAAGGATTGTGACATTTGCCCATGTGGTCACCACTGAGTGCTTGGCCGTTTCTGAGGTCCAGATTATGGCCCAGAACAATAGCTGAAATAGCCAGGTCTCTTGAAAGAGAAGAACCAGCCCGAATAGTGGATTAGTGAATATGATTGGAGCAAATCAGGCAGCTCACAGACAGATGGGGATAGAAGAAGAAAGACTTACAAGAGCCCCCAGAAACCTCTAGGTTGGGCAAAGGAGGAGATGCAGGGCTAAGTGCCAGGCAGCTAGAAGCCCAGAAATGTTGTGGAGGTTCTTGGAAGGAGGGACTGGAGTTCCCTACTATTGCAGCTAAGGGTGCAGCTAGGGAAGACTGCTGCGATTCTATTCTTGTCTCCTCCGTTCCTCTCCCTTTCTTCTCCACTTATGTGGCCTGGGGAAGCAGAGGTCACAAATTACCATGGAAATTCAAATTAGTATGCTGTGAGTTACTAAGTAGCATTTGAATCTTTAAGACAAAAATCAAATGGTATAAAAAATGGTTCTTTACTATGAGCAGTCTGGCTAATGCTAAGAGAAAAATGAATATTTTTGAAGAATATCATATAGCTCACAGAATCAACAGGAGGCTGGAGAACCAGGCTCCAAGACATGTCCAGAACCCAGGATGGCCGGCAGGAATGATCCAGGTTACTGCTCATACCTATCCTGGCAGGCCAGAGTCTCTGCTGCCACAGGCCACTGCAACCAGGCGATATTCAAAACCAACACGGTGAAGTGCCAGATCTCAAAGTCTCTGCTTCCACCATAAATACTGCGCAAACTGCTCCTGACACCCAGTAAGGCCCCTTCGAGGTTCACCCTGTGAGATGATAATGTCTGATTGGCTGAACCAAGATCGCAGGCCAGCTCCCTAATGGCCTTTGGGCTGGGAGAAAGAGACATGTCCCCCTTCGATTTCCACTGTGAGAAATGAGTGGTCTGCACACAAGGAGGGACTTCCCAAAAGTAGGATGGGGGTGTTGCTTGCTGAGCAGCCAAAGAAATGACAAATGTCCATATTTTGTGGTGTTACCGATATCTGTGAATAAAACAAGTTTGAAATGAATTCATGTTAATAAATGAAGAAATTTTGTATGTGTGTGAGTGTTGTGAATGTGAAGGTTGCCAGCTGTAAGCAAGAAGAAGGTTTTCAACAGAAAACCAACAGACACAGCTCGAGAGACTGCAGCACGGAGGCCAGAGAACGGGAACAAGTACAATTTCCCAGAACCTTCAGGGAACCAACTAAGGAAGAGCCAGGATCTTCCGTCAGGCTGGTGGGACCGGGCCTCAGCAAGAACGGAAAACCTCCCTTCCACCAGGTCCAGAGAACGCTGGTGCCAGGGGCCTCCAGGAAAAGCCTGCACTCAATAGAGCCAGCCCTTGCAAACAGAACTTCTCCAGTGACACCACTGTCACTACAGCTGCAGGTTGACAGTGGTCATCTCTGGTGATGTGATTTGCAGGAAGTAATTCTTTCTATCTGGAATATTCATTTCCTAAACTTTCTACAATAAGCACGCGTGGCTTTTATAATCAGAAAAGAAAGGGTTAAAGAAATAAACTCCACTGGAGCTATCTCTTCCTTTTATCTTCCTGCCAGAACAAATAAATCATCTTAGGATAACAATTAGGAACTAAATGTGCAAGAGGGAATATGTGTCTGGTGGGTGTTTAAAAGACAAAATTTAGCAAATTATAAATCTGTAAGAAACTAGAACTCGGTCCTCATGGTTTGGGTTGGGTTGAGTTGATTGTCAATTTAATTGCTTCTAACTGGGCTCTCGCTTGGAAAAACAAAAACCCTTTTTATTTAATTTGGCAAGGATCTCCATCTTTAGATTCTGCATTCCTTCCCCAGCCTCCTCCCCAGACCACACTCATGTTTTTCCAACAGACCCCATGGTCCTCTCCAGAGCAGCCCACTCAGCCCCTGTAGAACGCGCACAGGTTATTTTTACTGCTTTCGGGAATGGCTCCTTGGAGAATGTGAACACACCCCGAAGCAACACCATCAAGCAGAAGGTTGGGCACCAAGGGGACCAAGCCTACAGAAGAGAGGCATCAATGCAGGATATGCAAGTCCCCTGAGGGGTGGCAAAGTCCCTTCATATTCTAGACACTGGGACACAGTGAGAAGGAAATCCAACCCAAAGGAGGATGGTGGGTGGTGTGACATGAGGAGTGCAGAGCAGATCACTTCTAAGAAATGCATCTACAGTGCCGCAAAGGAAAGCTCCAGAGTGCCAGGGATCTGAGAAAGCAGAAGGGAGATGCAGCTGCAGTCTGTTCTTAGGCACCACATGTCCAGCCTGACCTGAGCCTTCGGGGAGCTGTCCCCATCCTGGCCATAGACCATGTGTTCAGGGCTTCACTTTCTAAGCCACTACTCAACACATTCCACACCTCACTCCATGTTCTTTTCTCTCCATTTTTATTGTTCCTGCTTCCTTGGTTGCACTCCGGTCCACTGCTGTGTCTCAAAGTAACTCATCACTCTTCTTTACTGGAGACAAATCAACACTAAGGGGTGGTAATGAAAGAGTTAACACCATAGCGAATTTCTCTCCCTTTGTAGTCAGAGGAATTGAAAGAGCACTGAATAAAAAGAGAATTGTTCAGGTAAACAGTGGCAAACCAAGGAGGGGGATGGTGGGAGTGGTCCACCCAGGTGAGGAGGAGTATTTTATTCCTGACATTGCTTAGAATTGTCCACGCGTGGTGATCCTAAAAAGCAGACTGACTTTTCCTTGGTTTCATTATTGTTTTAAAATTCTCCATCAACAATGCTCTTCCTTATTCCTAGCGCCCAGGGCAGACCACTCCATCCTTCCCTGATAGGGACCAGCTCTCTGAGAGTTTCCATGTTATGAGCAAATCTGCACTTTTGCAGTCTTTATCAATAGTCTCCGATTTCTCTATCCCTGAAATGGCATCCACAAATGGGAGACAACTGAGACTAGGAGAGGCTGACATACCATTTAGCCCAAGCCTCTCACCGACAGGTGCAGACAGGTGGTGTGACTTGCCCAAGTTAGCAGCAGAAGTGGTTTGACCTCGAGTCACCTGCGCCTCTGCCTCCAGGACTGCATCTAGCACAAAAGGAGGCACGGCTAGTTCAGGATTTTACAGCTATTTACAGGTCCCTTTCCCAATTCAACCAAGAACTTTCTCTTAACTACTCAAGGCTCTAACACAGTAATGTGCTCTCTGCCTGGGCCCCAAGACAGCTTTCTCAGAACAGGATCAAAACCCCTTCCCGCACAGCTACCTGAACGCAGGCTTGATGGCCCCCTGGATTCTACTCACAGAATGTCCCTGCATTACTGCAATAAAAAGTGCAAAAAAAGAGAAAAAAATCCTCTCTCCAGGCATGCATCTTCAGGGTCAACGCTTCCAGTGCTGTTCTGACTTTGATAGCTTTTTCAATTGGCCGCTCCATGCAGCTTGCAGCATTCGTCACTCTGCTCCCTTCATTCTGAAGCCAGAGCATGCTAAAACCTCCCAGTTTCTCTCTGTTCCAGCATTCCAGCAACCTCAGCCCATGGGGGGACAGTGAACTCACTCTCATCTTTCCAGGTCCTGTTGATATCTTAGAGATGCAATGGTGGAAAACACTAGCATATCTGGGACTCAGTTACGTTTTTATTCTGTTGCCCTTGGCCAGAGGGACTTTCTTTCACTAGGCCCTGTGATACTGAGCCTGTCATGATGGCCGCAGGTGCTCTCAGGAACAAGTAGATTTAGTATCAGCCAGAGACGAGACTATAATGAATGAATCAAACCAGCGGCTCCCCCAGTGCAGCAAATCATGATCCATGCACTCCATGAGAGCGCTGGAGTTCTTTTCCACTGTCCATTCTTTCTAGATTATCCATGCCATTCTTCTCCTCGAGTCATTGAGAGTTCATGGTGGGTGTGGCTGAATCATTGCCCAAGTGACTCAGCCTCCTGATTAAAAAGAGAACAAAAAATCTTGTTAGTTCACCATTGCTTACAGAATAAAGCCTCAACTCCCTAGCAGGACGTTCAAGGGCTTTTCATAAACTGGCCCCAACCAGCCCCACCAGCTCTACCATTCATCACCACCGTAAAGGCCCTCTTGCTCTTCCCCACACCTCCACTTTCCATATCTAACGCCTGCTCATCCTGGGCTCAGCTGAAATCACCTTCTCCAAAAAGTCTACCTCGACTATATCTAGGTCCCTCCTCTGAGCTCCCTTACTTCCATCTTAGACTTATCACCCTGATTTGTAATCATCTGTCTCTTGTTTGTTCCCTCCACTAGACTCTAAGCTCCGGGAGCTCCACTGAATGATAAATGTGAGGCTGTGGACAAGTCCTTGAACCTCTCTAAGTTTTAATGTCATCATTTGTAAGTGGAAATAAGAGCGGTACCTTCTCACATGACTGTTAGGAGGAACACACGAGCTAATGCATATTAAGCACTCAATAAATCTGCTATTATTATGATCAGTATTCAAGGCATAGACAAGGCTGATAATTCTTGTTGCCCCCAGTATCTAGTCCAATGTCTGAGACACAACAAATACTCAATAATCACTTGTAGAGTAAATTAATAAATGGATATATTCCATCCAAACCTAATGATTTGCCATTTCCTAAACACTCCACGCCTTTAATACCTCTTAGCCCTTACACACTCTGTTTGGAATGCCTGATCCTCCCCACCCCACCCTACTTCCATCCCTTTTCTACCTGGTGAGTTCCCACTTATCCTTCAAGACCAAGATCAAATACCACCTCCTCTTTTCTACCTTCCCAGATTCCCTTAGAGAAAATTTATCTGAGATTACACAGAACTTTGCTCATACTCCTATTATCACACTCATGACCTTGTCTTACAATTATTGTAATGTTTGCTCATGTGTCAATCTTGCCCTCTACAGTGAGCTCCTGTAGAGCAATGACAGATTTCTATGCCCCCTACTCCAGTGGTTAGCATTGTGCTGGCATACGTTAGGCACTTAATAGGCAAACAAGAGATTCCCCAGTAAGTCCAGAGGTTGATCCCAGCGTCACAGAGATGATAAGAGAAAGAAGCCTGAAGACCTCTCCCAGGGAGGCGGGGAGTCTGGCTGTGTGCTTGGAGCAACACTGCCATTTCTTTATTTCCGTTACTTACTGCAACAATAAAGAAATAATTCAAGAGAAAGAAGCATCGTCTACTATCCTATTAAACTAACACATCAGCTGCTTTCATTTTTCTTTGTTCCCCTACAGTGCTTTATTTCTATGCATGCATAATTTTATATAGTTGCACTCATTATGTAGACACGATTTGGCATTCTGCTTTTTTTTACTTAACCAACTCTCATAAGCATTTTTCCAAGTTACTGTACTGTCTACAAAATCATCTATTCTAGCTGCATAATATTCCATTGGTTGCTTCTAAATTACAACTATTAAACATAATACTGTGTCAAATGTCTTTTTGCATAAAGCTTTCCATCTAATTGGTGGTATTTTTAAAACATTTCTGCCTAAGACTTCAGAATTTTCCTGGGGGCTTGACAAAAGAGCTGCTCAAAGTGGGCTCTCTAGACCACAGAAATTAGTGATATACAGAAGGCTGTTGCAGTCTCATGGGAGAAATCTGACCAGTCGTAGAAGTATTTATTGAGCACCAAGCGGAACAAAACTGCGCTCCTAAATTCCAGTGGAATATATCCAATGGTCTGCTCCATAGTTCTGCTTAGAAGTAAATAGACATCTTGAACTTGACATGTCCAAAACCTAACACCTAATTTATACTGATCAAACCAGCTGTTCCAGCAGTCTTCCTCATCTCAATTAATGAAAACTCTATCTTCCAACAGCTCATGCCCAAAACCAAGGGATCATCCTTGATGCCTATGGTCACATCCCGCATTCCAACCTATCAATGAGTCCTGTGGGCATTCCCTTCAAAATATACCAAGAATCCAGCCATTTCTCACCACCTCCACCCATTATCACCACGGTCCAAGCTACCACCATCTCTTGCTTAGATTATTGCAATAGCCTCTTAAATTTTCTCCCTGACTCACCCTTGCCCCTTGCAGACTTCTCTCCACACAGCAGCTAGAGTGATCTTTTGAAAACATGTCAGATCATATCCCTCTAAAACTTCAATATCTCCCCATCAGTCAACTTGACTAGGCCAGGAAAGCCCAGATGTTTGGTAAACATTATCTTGGGTGTGTCTGTGAGGGTGTTTCTGGATGAGATTAACATTTGAATCAGTAGACATCAAAGCAGGCTGCCCTCCCTAATGTCAGTGGGCCTCATCCAATTTGTTGAAGGCCTGAATAGAACAAAAACATTGACCCTCACTCAAACAAGGGAGTACTCTTCCTGCTTAACTGGTGGAACTGGGACATCAGTCTTTTCCTACCTTTGGATTCAAACTGAAACATTGGCTCTTCCTGGATCTCAAGCTTGTTGCTAGCAGACCAGAACTTACACCTGGGTCTCCAGGTTTGCTAATGGCAGATCTTGAGACTTCTCAGCCTGCATAATTATATGAGCTAATTCCTTATAATATATATGTATTAACATCCTGTTGGCTCTATTTCTCTGGAGAGCACTGATTAATACACAGAGTAAACTCCTAAGTCCTTACCAAGATTTCAGGGTCTTACATGTCAGACCTCCCGACTCCCTCTCTGACCTATTCTCCTTCAAGCACTGAGCTCCCACAATGTTGGCCTTGAATAAGCCAAAAATGCTTCTGCCTCAGGATCTTCGTACCTGCTGTTCCATCTGCCTGGAAAGCTCTCCCTCGTGGCTCACTCCTTCACCTCTCTCAGCTCAATGACATCTTATCAGAGAGGACCACTGTGACAAACACCACCCCACATGAAATGGAAACCCAACCCCATATGACATTCCTAAGTTTTCTTCCTCTGCTTTAATTTTCTCTGTCATACTGATGACTGCCTGATACATTAAATATTTGTTTGTTTACTGTCTTTTCCCACACTGAAATGATTCAGACAAGAGAAAACCCAGATACATAATATATTAGGTAGTGATAAGTGCTATAAAGGAAAATAACTAGGGGAGGGAGCTAGAGAATGGGAGGCTGTCGTTTCAAATAGGGTGGTTAGGAAGGACCGCCCTGAGGGATGAAATGGAGGTGAGACCTAGGTGAAGCGACGGAGAACCAGGACTGAAAACAGAAGAGAGGCTTTGAGCACAGTGCCCCGCCCACATCAGCCAACCAGCAGGGAGTTAGGGAATCGGTACCCCCCTTGGTCCCCCTTCAGTGGGTAAGTTTGAGCCACATTCAAAGCCATCTCTGAGGCCCCGGTGGACTGGGCCCGCTTGCCCGCCGTGGTGACCTGCTCAGTAACACCTTGCATCAGCTTCCTCCCCTGTACCCGCTGGTGCTTCCCGGGTCCACTGCTCCCTGGACTCACCGGCCCTGAAAGCCTTATCTCAGGATGCAGCCTCAGACAGAAAAGAGCTCACCTGGTTCCCAGTGGCTTCTCAACCAGCAGATGGAGGGTCTGTGGGAGTGACACCTGGGGGCCAAGGCCTCTGCCGGGGGACACTGTGCGCTGCACAGGCTGCAGGCACAAGTGGTGAGGTGCTCAGCTGTCTGGGGGTGGCTTGTGACCCAAGCATCTGGCACTGCCCCACGCACAATAGAGCATGATATTGGAATCAGGTTGAGGTCCTGGAGGGACAGGGCAGCTGCACAGGCCTGGTGGAGAATTTACAGAAGCAGATTAACCCAATCTGCATACTAAAGAGCACATAAATTACTTTATTTCAACCCATAAGTTTAGACATGTCCATAGGAATAAAAATTTATGACAGTGATAAGATGTATGGTTGGCGTAAATAAGCTAGCCCAAGCAAAATATGCTGAAAGTGCGATGGAAATTCTTCAAATAAAGTGAGTGGTGTCAGCCCCAGCCTCCAGCAAGGAGAAGGGGATGCTGACTCCAGCCCTTGGGGCCTCCAGTCACTGCAGGGAGGGGCAGAGAATGGTCCCTGCTCATGTACAGATTGGGTAGCTGCAAACCTGGGGAGCATCCTGCCCTAAGGAGCTCACCCTTAGAGATGGGAGCAGAAGTCACTCCAGGATCCAGGAAAAATCCTTTCAATGATAGTAATAATGGTAAATAAAAGTAACGTAATAGCTAATATTTTTGAGGACTTAATATGTGCCTAGCACGCTTCTGAGCCCTCTGTGTGTTCTACTCCTGATTCTCACAACCACCCATGAAGCGGGTATTGCTGTGGGGAAACTGAGGCTCCGAGACTGAGCACCTGGGAAGAGGCAGAACTGGCCTCGGGCAGCCCGAGCCCGGAGCCTGCAGACTTCACCATGATGCCCACCACCTCCATTGAACATCATGCGGACAGGAACTTTGGGAGTAACTGACTTCAACCTTCTCACTTCACAGATGAGGAAATGGAGGCCGATGGGGGTGTGGTGACTTGCCCATGGTCATGCAGCTGGTAAATGACAGAGCCATGATCTGGTCTAGGATTTCAGACACCACGGTCAAAGCCCCTTCAAGTGCCCAGGGCATCCCTTCTTGTTGCCACTCGCAGGGATCTGAGAAGACTCAAGGGGCCAGATCACATGGGGACAATCAGTCTTCCTTGTCTCTCCCATGTGGCCCTCAGTCGCAGGTGGAGAAGGTCTGCCCTCAGTAGATGTGCAAAGGGCAGAGCAGGGCAAATCCAGCTCCTGCTCTGAGAAGGTGTCTCTCACAGTCAGAGGTCTCTGCCCTGCCTTCTGGGGTGAGAGAACTCAGCAGAACCCGTATCAGCCCAGTTTCCCCTTCCGAGTGGCTCAACTCTGTCAACTGGGTGAATCATCACAGTCCCTGACAGTGGACTTTCCTGTCCAGGGCTCATTCTCTTGCAAGTGATCAACCCTATCTCAAGCCAGATAAGCCAAAGAGGAGGTTCTGGGGGTACTGAAAGGC